ATCAGAGCGCAACCTGCTGAGAAAAGAACACGACGCCTTGTGAAAGGCCCGAAAAAAGAACATGAAAACGTGACAGGGCTAACACAAGTCAGAATAAGTGCAGCCTTTTTTCGAGAAAAGAAAACGCTATTAGTTAATTTATGGTAACTAGTTTGCTTTTTATATCAGGTAAATAAAAAACATAATTTTATGTCCATCTTTATCTGAAATAACAACTTATATTCGGTCAATCATATAAATAATATGCAATATAAATATTTTTTCCCAGAGGTATGTATATCACGCAAGAAAATGAGTTATTCTCTTCTGAGGTCAATATCATTTCTTAGGATTAATCAAAACGCTCGAAACTATAAGAATACATACATTGGTAATCCTTAAAAACAAAAAATTTGGAATTTAAGGAATCTGAGTCAGGATTCTATGGCTGATTGTATTTCTACCATGAAACAGCTTACCACAAAAAACTATCTGACATTTGGAGGCGTTGTAAAGATGTAGCGCCAGATACATACATATGTACATAGATACATACGTATATAGTATATTTATTTTTGTATGAAAGTATGTACTTTCCTCGGTTTTGCACATCACTGACGTCATCAATATCCATAAATAACCATACCAACTCGATATTGTTTTCTTACAAAGGTAGTGTGCGGTTGGTTTCAATTATATATGTATGTACACATGTATGTAAGTAAGGCGTGTTGCATTTTTAACCTTTGATATGTCCAGAAATATGGTGACAAGGCCTAGTTTTTGTTAGACGCCTTTTTGGGGAGCATATGGGTTTGTGCATAAATGTGTGTGAGCATACGTGCATACATCAATATGTAGTATGTGTAGAAAACACTTTTAAGGAATCACAAGTTCCTGAAAAAGGACAAGACAATACAAGGTTGAAGTGAAACATAAAACCATTTTTGGCGTTAACCACTATGAACACACAAGTTAGCATTTTGTAATATTTTCAATAATATTTGAGTACCCAAGCTAAATTTACATATCTATTATATATAGATATGGGCGTTACATTACGCTTGAATGAAAAAAAAGTTAAAAAAAAAAATTAAAGCTAAAATTTAAAAAAGATTTTTCTGGATTTGAACAGCACTTAAATGGCCCCTTATTCAGCAAAAAAAAATAAAACTTTTGTGGTAGCGATTTAACGATATTAGTATCTAAACATATACGCTGGCGTGACATTACAAAAAATAGAAGTGGATTTGGACTTGGGTTAAAAAATTGGAAAATTCTGCGAAGTGGGCAAGGCTATTTCTATAAAAGTTTTTGTAGTAATATTTAAAATGTTTTAAGGTTAATTTTCCAAGTTTTTAAATATAAAAATCTTTTCTGCTTTTTGTTTAATCAGCTGAAGTAACTGGGGTGACGTTACATTACTAAAATTAACATTGAAAAGATTTGATGTCATGATAACCATGTCACAAAATATATTTCCAATGGAGACCGCCTATTATATGCAATATATGTATGTATGTCAGCGCTTATTGTTTGCCAATCTATTGCAGGCAATTCTATAGTTTGACAGCCATATTTTCAATTGAAAGTAAGCGTGCTGGTGATCACATCGATAAAATTTCGATATTAAATCAAAATAAAAATCTGTTCCCTATCGGATTATTTATGATTAGTGTTTTAGGAAACAATTCAGCAAGTTTTTAAAAGATTTAAATGTTTTTAAACATCGAAATTGAGAGAATGTTGTCTGGTGGCGTCATGCCCACACACAAAAACTTGCAATCATATTGCTCGTCAAAATGACAGTTGGTAGGCCATCGGTGCTTGCCTGTGGAGTTCTGCGGTAACGCGACCATTTTTGGCCGAAATGTTTCTGCTTATATAACCAGTATACATAGTATATTATGAAAAGCAGCCAAATCGGCCTATAATTAAGTTAGATATAGGACTTTTAGTTTTTTCGCGGTAGACTTTTCGCTGGAAACGCCCATATGTATATGTATGTATGTATAAATAATTTTTGGAACGCAAATGGTAAGTTTGCAGAACTCTATTCCTAACTTCGTCAATGACTATCCATGTTGGTTGGATTTTGCTTTTAAGCCATACTAAACAAAAAAAGAAAATAGCGTGTCAGTAGGCAAACATCAAAAACGTCGTGTGATAACCATCAAATAGTATATATGTACATAATATGTATACATATGTAGATAGTATGTGTTACATAAGTATGTACATACGTAATGAGTCTTTGACATAATTAAACTAACAAATTCCTACAAGGTGTATGTACATGCGTACACATGCAAATATAATGAAAAACCACGGTGACCTACATATATTTCTGAACAGCTATTCAGTACGCACTAATAACAACTCACAAAAATTTGTTTAGGACGCTTAATAAAACCAATTTAGCAGAGGAAATAAATACATACAAATAAATTGAAAAGGAAAGTCGATTTTTCCAAATTAATTTGCCAACTATAAGTGTAAATATTAATATTAAAGCGTTTAGTTTCACAAATCACAACGCAATATTCAAATAAGTGTACATACATGAATATATAATACTGTAGCAAAGATACCTAAATACATATTTACGCATTTGCATTTATGTATGATTCATATTATAGATAGAAAAAAAGCATTCGGACGTACATATGTACGTATGTATATAAATATGTATGTACATATATGAAACCATAAAAATTTCAATTGCATATGTTAAGCATTCGATCTTTTCCGACTAGGCCTGTTTAACTTATGGTATACGTTCAGGCATTTTCGTCAATAAACATATGAGATTTTCCATTTCAATTAAACCAAATTAATTTTTTTAACTGGATTTTTTTCGCTATAAAACATATGTATTTTATCTAACATATTAGACTTTTGAGGAGAACCTAAAGATGACGGTATATGTAACGTGAACTGACATTAAAAAAAAAATCAATTATTTTCTCATTGACCAGCCCGGAATTTCTAAATTAACCTTTGATAGGATCACACGAAAAGATAATAAGCATGATTCTTCTAATTCTAGCAGTGTATGCTCATTTACTGAGCCAGTTAAACGTAATTTAAGTCTCGAGGATAGTTACTTGCTCTCATAAGAAAGGGATTTAATAACAAATTATTAAATCTATGAATGTACATACATTTAGCACAATGGGAAGGGAACAATACAATAAATTATGAATCGCCTTTTCTTGAAAAGATCACTTAAAAAAGTGGTTGTTTCTTTAAGTTACATACTATATCCTCGATGCCTTTGCAAAACCGCCTATCTTCCGGCACTTAATTTTTACAGAAGAGTGAAAAAATGTCTTTTCTTTGAAGGCATTGACTTGATAGGCGGTATTTTCTCCAGCTATTATTTTATTAATCTATTGTTTTAATAACGATCTTAGGATTTTTATGTATAAATCTCGATGACTGGAGTTTAGGGTTACCAAATATCATTTTTGCCACAACGGCATTTTAGGCGGTTTTGTAACTGCTGGATGGGTGGTTTTGCAAAGGCATCGACGATATCAAATAAGAAGTCGTCTATTGCCGCCTTATCCGCAAAGCGAAAAAACTCGGGTACTTTTATACTTTTCAAGAGGCAAATCAGTAAACTTACGTAGACATGTATACACAGATACATAAGCATATAAACATAGTATGCTTGTAAATAAAATGCAAGTTATTGTGTGTAAATACATATTTATATATAGTTTCGTGTGCATACATAATACATAAGCACGTATCATAGCATGCCAGTAAGAAATATGAATTTGAATACACATGTACTTACATATACATACATATGTATGTAGGTATATATGTATGTATAAGTATTTACATACATAGTAAGTAAAGGTAAATGCGGAATTGGGACGGAAAATATACGAGAATAAAGCTTAAGTGAGCGGCTCAGTGTGCGGAGATGGCTACATAAATATGTATGTATGTATGTAAGTATAAGCTGGCTCTAACTTTTAGCCGTCTCGCTTACCAATCCAGTCCCTTCTCTTTATGCACTCTTTCTTCGTTTTGTTATTCCCCTTTGCTAACCTGTTGATTGTTTCAATTATTCCACCCGTATTCGATGAAATTGTTCATTACAAAAAAGATAAATTATTAAATTATTATTTCGGAGCTCCTCTCATACAGAAATATCTCAGTGCTTAAACTGTGAAAATTCGCTAAAGATAATTTAAGAAGAATAATAATGTGGCTATCTAAATATGTATGTATGTACATAACTCAATTGTAATTAAATGACCGTAGGCATTTATGATATGCCTTTGCAAATGTACATATGTTCGCATGTATACGTGCACGTATGTACGTAGGTGAATGGTGTGAAATTATACCTATCTCTCATTAAAATTCTTATACGGGAATACGCCCCTATATGGTGTGTTTGCATTCAAACTTATTCCGTTTGATTTGACGTTTGGAACAAAAGCTTGGCTCTAAATATTAAAAACTCAGAGAACGGAAATAGAAACTAGAAGCTGCGATCGCAGTTAAATTAACTGTTCTCTTGCTCTTTTGCATTTCGAAAGTACGTAAACACTACACGCCTACATATGTATGTATGTACAATGTATGATTATTCGTATATGCATGTGCATGTATCTATGTATGTACATTTTCACTAGGTATTTATGTACAGCTGTATATCAGGTGGGTCCTTATGTATTTGATGTACATATGTATATATGCATGTATATATGTAATTAGTATATGTAAGTGTGTACATTTGTATGTGTTTTTGTTTGCCGCCTTTGTATGTGTGGTTACGCAAAATCTGAACTAGACTTGAACGAGTACCGTCATGAGACTCGAGAAGGAGATCAAGCCCACGTCTAATCTTCATACTCTACGTTGTACACATCTAGCGCGTGAATTTGCATTTAGCTACGTGTGCAGGTAAATTCTGAGATTGCAATTTCCCTGCAATGCAAATACAATTGTATACTTGTTATACATTATGAATGTAGGCTCCAATGGCTTCCAGCGTCGAAGTAGACTGAGAGTAACTTACTCAACCATTTATTAACTCACCAGATCACTTAATCATTACAGTAGGTACAATGGCGTTTCGCAGCTCTAATTTATGCAATTTGATCATACTTTTTCTGTCGATGACTTCGGTTGATACGTTAGCGATCTTATTTTCAAAATGTGTATATGATAAGATATTTTTATTCGCTACTGCATTTAACATATTTAACACGATCAATAAGAATTTTTTTCGAACAAGATAGGCTATTTATCCGAGAAAGCCGGTTTTTAGTCAACGCCACCGTTTGTTCTGCTTGCTTTGTAAAGAAACAAATAAAAAAAGCGTTGTAAAAATATATTAAACGATAGATATGTCGAGATATTTTTCCATTCACAACTCCAGTTTCTGAACGCGTACTTTATATGATTTGGAGACTTATTTCGAAGAACATTTATGTATTTCGTGCATTCGCGTTTATGCTATTGGCATAATTCTCAACTATCACATCAAATATATGTAAATATTTTTTGTATTTTTTTTTCGTCAAGGTATACATATAAACGTATGTATGCACGCCATCCGCAAAAAATCAACGCACTAAGCCAGCAATCAATAAGCAACTGAGTAAGGCTAAATTTTCTAAAACTTTGTTCGTTGCTATTTGCAGCTTGTTTACGGAAAGGGGAAACGAAACGAGAATAGTACACGCAACTAATTCAAGTTTATTATTCAAGTTTACAGCTAAAGCTAATATGTAGTTCACCACGTGGGGAATTCCAAGTGAAAGCTTTTTCGTCTTTCACATGGCTGTGAGATTCCAGTAAAGTTTACTAAGCAGATACGTAATGAAAAATGTTTGTATATGTATATGTATGTACATTAGGACGGGCCAAAAAACCCCTTATACCATTTTTTTATACAAAATTTGAGCACTTCTTTACGACACTGCCGCAAAATGCAATTTGGCAAACTCCAAATTGATTTTAGTCTTATGGTTTCTTCGGCAAATTTGCTTAGAATTTTACGTAGAGTCCTTTTGTGCTATAGGCGCATAGTCGAAAAAATCTCCTATACAAATTGACCTGCCCTAATGTACATACAGTGGCACTCACGTAAATAGCACATTTTTATATATTCACGATGTTTTATGTGATAAATTTTTTTCGTTAATTTTTTTTTGAAAATATATAAGTTTCTTTAGCTTTAAAATGACGTTAAGATGAAGTCTCTACGATGAGCAGAACCCGAGATATATCTATTTGAAGAAGTACATGATTAGTCAGAATCACGAAAAAATTAAAACTTTGACAGATCATATCCTGGAACACGTGTTAGCTTATTTCATGTATAGAACCCACAAAAAAAAATTTGAAGCGAATCGGAGACTTGACATAATCCGTCGGACTTAAAAAAGAATGGCTCCTATGCTAAACAATCATTTATGCGTTGTAAATTATTACCGCTTCCAATAACAATTGCTGGATTTGAACAATATATTATGGAATTTTGATTAAAAATACAAATTCAACCTTATTATGGGTTTCGCTTTCCTCGAACTGTTTCACTTATCACTCTTTGTTTCAGTGTATTCACTACCCGCGGATAGATAGATAAGATAAGATAAGATAAGGACCCCTATCTAAAGTGATAAAGGGGTAAATTGCTTTAATTTATCAGTTTAGCCGCATTTTTACATGAACGCACTTTGGTAAATAATTGCATAAAACTGTTTATTATTTAACTTATATGGCTAGTTACGTTTAATTCTTACCTCGTACATTGTGTTCATTTGCTTTTTATTTCTTCGTAGCAAAAGTGTTTTCTCCTGACAACCGGCCAGAGTAGAATTTTGCTGAAATGTATGCCTTTATCCAGCAAAATCGTTTGATAAAGTGATAAACTTTGGTTAAGTAGATTTCCATGCAAAGTTTGACAGTTCATTTGTCAAAATGATAAATTTATCATTTTGTCAAGTTTGTCAGCAGTTTATCACTTTTCATGAACACCCCTATAGCAAATTCTATACCATAAACCATGTACATATGTCGGAAGTTTCAAAATTTGTGCACATTTCAGAAAAATTTAACAAATTTCAAAAAAATAAAAAATGTTATCAAAATGTTCACTTTTTTGTTCAGAATTTTCAGAAAATTACTGGGTGTGGAGTTTTTTAGTAATTTTCAATTCAAGTTTAGTAAAATAATAAGTAGGATTGTGAAAAATCCCGTTGATTTTGGAAATTTCTCTTGTGTCGAGGGTGTTGGCGATTTTCTTCCATATAACGCATGAACAAAATCTATTTTTATATGGAATTTCCTCCTTATAGTTACACTTCCTACATCTTTTGTACTTCTATAAGACTTCATTTAAACTCATGTGTTGCTAGAAGACAATGCTCTGTTAGGAATCCTATCAGAAGTTTCGAGTCCATTCTTTTATTGGCTGCAGCGCTACTTGCTACTAATAGTCCGGGAGCCAGCGACATTTTTTAGTGACCAAAAGTACAAAA